AGAACTTCAGTGAGCAGCTGAGCCTCATAGCTGTGAGCTTTACACACCTCACTGTACCTACTACACACTCCTGTTTTAACAGATGCCAAAAGAAAAAGCTTTCAGTAGTAAATGTTTCCTACTTTGAATAAACCACAAGGTGAAAACAATACAACTTCAATACTTTGACTAAGGTTTCTTAACAAGTCATAAAAGGATCCTTAGTTTATTCATTCATATCTATTTAGCAAACCTTAGTAGGTGCCCACCATCCACATTGCCAGATACCACCGGTTCTGGGGGTGGACTTGCTGACACCGTCCTATGTTCTCAGGCCCTTCATGGAAACCATCTGTGATTGAACAGCGGGGGAAGCTGAGAGCTCAGAGCAGGAGGGGTGGTCACAAACTTGCTGCAAAGGGTTGCCTGAGTCAGCCTTGGAGGGGGAGGGTGTTGCCAGTGAAGTGTGAGGGCAGCCCAGTGGGAGGCAGGCAGCTGACAGGTGGGCAGGGCCAGATCACAGGACCCCCTGAATGGGCTGACCCAGAGAAGGGCAGAGAGCCTTTGCAAGGGCTGCATCAGATTTGGGTTTCTTTTTTTTTTTTTTTAATGTTTGTTTATTTTTAGAGAGCATGAGTGGGGACGGAGGGGGAGAAAGAGAATCCCAAGCAGGCTCTGCTCTGTCGGCACAGAGCCCCACACGGGGTGGGGGCTTGATCTCACGAACTGTGAGGTAATGGCCTGAGCCAAAATCAAGGGTCAGACACTTAACCAATGGAGCCATCCAGGAGCCCTGATTTGGGTTTCTTTTAATGAGGAGAGCCTCTGAGTCAGACTAAAGCCTTCCATGGCCCACCATGGCTTCAGCTGACTGAGGTCAGCAGGGGATGCGAGGCTTGTAGCAGGGAGACCAGGTGACTAGGTAACTTTCATTGCTGACCAGAGGATGCAGCGTTTGCACCTGTTGCTTACCACCAGGATTCTCAAGGAGCTGTACGGTAGGGGGTGCTGTGGCCTGGGCTGGCTGCAGTGGCCAGAACCAGAGGTCTTTGGGCCTGAGGAGCAAGCCACTTAAAGCCACACAGGATGTTGAGTCTGGATGAAGGAGAGCTCAGAGGGAGGCAAGAACAGTGAGTCTTCAGGCATCTGAAGTCCCTCGGGTTGTGTCCCATCACCCTCGCTTTGTGTGGCCACGGGTGCTAGAAGTGGGGATTAAATGGGGCATCTGTAAGGTAGAAAGTGCTTTCCTCCTAACAAGCAGCTAGCAGCAGGTAGAGAAGGTCCTGCTGGCTATTCCTGTGGGGATGCAATCTGGAAGACAGAGCAACGTAAGGTCTTGGCTCAGAGTCAGACAGCTGAGATCAAATCCTGGCTTCACTGTATTCTAACCGGCCAGTCCTAACAAGGTTTTATTCTGTTTTGTTTTTCTTACCTGCAAGTGAGAATGGTAGTGAATTCCTCCCTCATAAGGGTTTCTGAGGGTTAAATGAGGTGATTGGTATAAAATACTTAGTATGGCCCCTGGTAAATATCAATAAATTTTAGGTTTTATCACTTTATTATTTATTATTATTAATATTTACACAAAGCTTCCTGGGTGACTCGGATGCATGGCCTGGTTGGGGTACCTTAATGAACCTTAAGCTTCCTTATATTTTGGGGATCAAGGATGGAAAAAGAAAAACTCAAGGAGCTGGTATAAGACTATGGTGTTAAACCTACAAAATCTCTACATTCCAGAATAAATGACTGACAGCAAGTTAGAGGTTCTGTTTAGTGCGTTTGTCGTGATGACCATTGGGCTTTTAAATTCTATTTTTACTTATAATGAAGATCACAAACATAATAAAAGTATTTTTAAATATTTTTTTTTTTACTATTAAGGATTTACTCCTAACTTTTAAAAAACTATTCATTTCTTTGATTGAAGAATATGGTATCGAAAATTCCCAAATTAAAGAGCTAGAGTGAGGTAATTGTTTAAAGCAGATTGTTTGGATGCCCCAAAGAAGATGAAGGTTATTGGCCCTTTCCTATAGGACAGGAATGGATGTGGGCCAGGAGGGATGAAAGGGAATTGTAGCATATTGTACATGTAAGTACCCAAATTAAGACCCTGGGTCTTAGACCCAGTCTTAAGACCACAAGTCTTGTGTGCTCATAAGTTACTTTTATGAGCCTATGTCATCTTGTCGGGTGTACCTGGGCCTCGTAAAGGAAGCCAAGGAGGATTGAGTCCCGTGGACAGCTGCAGGGGCTTGGCAGCCTTGGAGATTCCCCAAATTTGAGAGCTGCCCCTGAGTGGGAGCTCTGATGAGAGCCTTGGAGGCCACACCCAAGAAACTTGAACTCTCAGAACCCACCCAGCTCTTGCTCCCGGGAAGAGCTCCGAAGTGACTTCTGGCTGCAAGGAGATTCTAGGCCTCCCCACACTGCCTGGCAGGAAACGCGCTCCGAGATAGTACAGCTGGAGGGTGCAAGGCTAGGGTGGGAATAGATTCCACTCCTCTCCTAATTGCAGAGAAAAGATATTCTTTTTTTTTTTTAACAAAATTTATTGTCAAATTGGTTTCCATACAACACCCAGTGCTCATCCCGACAGGTGCCCTCCTCAATGCCCACCCTCCCCTCATCTACCCTCCCCTCCCTCCCACCACCCCATCAACCCTCAGTTTATTCTCAGTTTTTAAGAGTATCTTATGATTTGGCTCCCTCCCTCTCTCTTTTTTTTTCTTCCCCTCGCCCATGGTCTTCTGTCAAGTTTCTCAGGATCCACATAAGAGTGAGAACACATGATATCTGTCTTTCTCTGTATGACTTATTTCACTTGGCATAACACTCTCCAGTTCCGTCCACGTTGCTACAAAAGGCCACATTTCATTCTTTCTCATTGCCAAGTAGTATTCCATTGTGTATATAAACCACAATTTCTTTTTAAGTGCTAGGCCCAGGGTATAAGAGAAAAGGGAAGAGAACAGGAAGCAAGGAGAGGAGGCGAGAACACCACCAGCAGAAGGAATTTGGGAGTGCAGTGCGGTCAGTGGGTGCACTGTATGCTGGCAGTTCCTAAAGCCTGGAGCCCATTTGCTTTCCTCAGCCATCAGTAATTTCCACCCACAGAGGGCTCTCTATGTGGGCACTTTCACTGCAAGAGCCACTTCCTGTGTTGTCTTGTCACCTCATTCAGGCCCTGGGAGCAGCAGGAAGGGAGGGCTTAGGAGGCTGTGCTAGCCAGAGCTTAGCCCTTGTGGATCCCCCAACCTTTGGCTGCTCAGGACAATCTTCCCCGGGCCCTGCAGTATGGGCAGCTGGGTCTGAGAGGCTGTGATCCTGGGATCTCTGCTGTCTTTCTCCCAGCCACACGAGGCTATGCTCAGCTAGAGCCCAAGCCTCACACACACTGGCTGTGACGAAAGTTAAAACCCTAACACCCCTCACCCCAGGTACTGCAGGGTTCCTCTCGCAGTATAGGCCGGCCTGTGTACTTGTAAGTACACTTATCAGACGCTGCTTGAGGGGTGCTGCACTGGTCTTAGATTTCCCTAAAATATGCCTTTGATCTTACCCTCTTGCTTCCCACAGCTCGGTCTGGCCTACAGGCTGAAGTCCTCACTCTATACCAGGCATACCTCTCCTTTGGTGCAGAGATAGGCTTTCACCTGCATGCCCTCCGTCCCCACCCCTTCACCTGGTCAGCTCTCACTCATCCTTGAAGATCAGCTCAGATGTTGCCAGAATGGGTTGATTGCCCCTCCCATGGGCCTGCCTGTACCTCAGCACTTCTCACTCCATTGTGAGTCCTCATCGTCTTGTCTGCCGAGATCCTCGGAAAAACTTGCTATCCAGCAATGTCAAGCTTATTAGACCTAGTGCAGCAAGGGAGAACCCCAAGTTGACAAAATCTCCATAGCATCTCAAAATGAAGAAATCAGGGAAGGACACTTGGAGAGTTTTGGGGTCCAAGCGGGGTGATTTTAAGGTGGGTCTCTCCACGTAGGAGACTGGTTATAACATTGATAGCTTTGGGTTGGTGAGCCCCACAAAGTAAGAGTCTTGAAGTGAGTCTTGTTGAGCAAGCTGTTAGTCTTGATAAATAAGTTGTTGAGTTGGTTTACAGTCTTATCTTGCAGGAGCAGGTATTTCCTGAAGCAAGCAGCTAGGTTGTTTTTACTTGGTGTCAGTGTTGTCGAACATAGCCCGGGGAAAGTCTTCCTGGTCTCAGAATTGTTTACCACAGGGGTAGGGAATTAGTTTGGTGTCAGTTCTTATGGCCAAGTCTGTTGAACTGAGCTCCAGGAGAGCAGAGACCAAAATATAATCTTTGTGCAAACCCTGATCAATGCCTGTTAACACAGCACCTGGACGTCATAAGCACACAGCTAATGCTTGTTGAATCCATGAGTGCATGAGTGTGGCCTCATCAGTGGCCCTAGGACCTTCTTGGGCAGCACCCTGCTCTGGAAAGAAGCAGCCACAGGAGAATGTGTCTAAGAAAATGCTGCCTGACCCTGGCTGCTCCGGGTGGGGTCCAGTGATTAGCATTGGTATGACCTCAGATTTTGTGAGAACTGTGGTTCTCAACACCCCCCTCAGTGCAAATTAACCTGCATCACGGTGGCTGGGGAGCAGTTGGTGTCTGAGAAGCAGTTGGAGCATCCGGCCTGCTTGTGGGAGGCGCTCCAAGTGCTGTTCTACAGCTACTCACGGAGCACTTCCTGCATGCCAGCAGGCACACAGCCCTGCAGATACAGCGCGGAGGCCTTCCCAATTTCCTGCTCTGGAGGGTGCATAAACACACATCTCAAGGACACTGAGACTGTCAAAAATGACCTTTTTTCCCCTCAGTATAGGAGAAATATTTCTATGCTTGAATCCACATATAGCGAGGCATGTGTCCGTGTGTGTTCAAGGAGCCTCCTTCCCCCCTCCACCCACCCCCCATCCAGCTGTAAGCATCTGATTGACTTCCCCTGACAGAAGTCATAATAACTAACGCTCTTCCTGTCCTTTTCTTTGGACAGATCCTGACGGCGAGCGGCGATGGCACATGTGCCCTGTGGGACGTGGAGAGCGGACAGCTGCTGCAGAGTTTCCATGGGCACGGGGCCGATGTGCTCTGCTTGGACCTGGCCCCCTCAGAAACAGGCAACACCTTCGTGTCTGGGGTAAACACCCAAGGAAAATCCCTAGGGGCCCTTTTCTCCACGGGAGGCTTATGCTGGCAATTATGGGGACTGGATCAGACACTTCTCTAGAAAGGGCTGCAGGAATTGTCCTCAGCTCACTTCCACACCCCTGTCTCCCACAGCACTGGCACTGCTTGGGGGGCAGTGACAGTGCTGGGCTGTGAGGGTCTCCTGCTGCTGACATTCAGTCTACAGAGGGATCTGGAATGTTCTCCTAGATGAGCAGTAGGTGGAAGAGTTGACCATGTGTTATACATATGTCAGGGGCGAATAAGAACAGAGAACTGAGCAGGCCAACCTGCCTCAGGTCCTGTCTCACTTTAGTCAGGACACTGGTGAGAGAGGACAGTGCTGGACACACCACTGCATGGTGTTTGTAGCTGGAAGACATAAGGGCCCTTTGCTCCAAGCTGCCCGTGTGTTAGCGCGGGGCATCAGGTAAGGGCTGTGAGGCCTGTAATCGGCAGGGACCCCATTTTCTTTTTGGGTATTTGGCCCCAACTGTGTATGTTTCATTTCTGTGCCTTTAAATAACTATATTTATCCCTCCTCAACTACACTGTCTTTTCAAATTGTTGTATCACTGTAGATTATATTGTCTCAGGGCAGTAAACTCCCTCTGGTTTAGTGTCCTCAAAAGATTGGAAGACACTCCTGATTGCTTTGCCCACATTCTCATTAAAGATAATCAGAGTGCTGAACCCCCACAGTGGGTATTCCTGAGATGCCAGTTCTGGTACTTCATCGCACTCTTTTCTCTGAGTTGAAACCAGCAACTTAAATACCAACTTTAAGCCATTACTTATTATTTGGCCATTGACAGTCTACATTGTACTACCCAAGCTTGATAACAGGGTTGCTCTGCAGGAATTTGTCAAATGCTCCTAGAACCATGATAGTATAATGTGAAAACCTCATGTTTATGAATCTCTGGGTCATGTTGGCAACCCAGAGAGAGTGTTTACAGGTATTGAGGCAGAAGCCCAGGATGGTGAGTTGCTAGAGATACCCAACTAACTGCTGGCAAGGTCATGACTCCAGCAGCATGCTGCAGAGGTATAGACGGCCCAGCTCCACCTTTGCTCAGGGCTGCCCCATACACCTGAGATGAAGCTGGGCGGTCCCACTGTGCACCCACTGTATGCCTGCCCTCCCCCTGGGTTGAGAGGCAGAGATAAAGAAGAAGGAGGAAGGGGAAAACAGAACAAAGAGAGAAATGCCCAGGAGGAAAGCAAGAAGGAGGCTCTGGAGGGTTTACACCAACTTGGGAAGGTGCAAAAGAAGAAAACATGCTGAAAGAGAAATCTGGGTGCCTTCCGTTGCTCCCCCCACACTCTCAAGACCTGGTTCTGGCTTTCTAAGGGCTTATCAGTTGAGGAAAGCTAGTCTCAGAAAAGCATGTTGTCAGCCATTTACCAATGGAAAGGAAATGGCTCTGTTACATAACAGGAACTCATGCCCATCTGTAGACAGTCCTTGCAGTGGCCATAACTCTGGATAACTTTGCATTTGTAGGGATGTGACAAGAAAGCCATGGTGTGGGACATGCGCTCTGGCCAGTGCGTGCAGGCCTTTGAAACACACGAATCCGACATCAACAGTGTCCGGTCAGTGAGTAGAATGTTCACATAACTTCTCTGTTCTGCTGGTAATCCCTGGCCTGGGGTTCCTGCTCAGCCCAGGAACCACCTCCAGACTCAGTTTACCTGGCTGAGAGAGGTCTCTCCAGCAAGAATGGCTGATTTGTGGTGGCACTGAACAGCGTGCCAGATCGCTTGGATATTTTTAATTTAATGGCAGTAGGAGCGATTGATATTATCCTCCCTAAACAGTCAGTATTTCCCATTCATTTATTCAGCAAATATTTATTGAGACTTACATGCTAGACATTGTTCCAGAGACAAGGTCTCTACTTCCCTGCAGGAGGCAAGACAAATACAAATAAACAAATGTACAACTTAATTTAAGGTAGTGATAAGTGTGTTATGAGAAAAGTAAAATAGGCAGATGGGATGGGATGGGTTATTACTTAGGATGATCAGGGAAGACCTCTCTGAGAAAGTGATGTTTGAAAGAGCCAAGGCTTGAGCTGGGGTGGTAAGATGAGATGTGGAGGACTTAACCACAGGCCAGGCAGGGGGTGGCTGACATTGCCTCTGTTTTGCCTGTAAGAGATCACTCCAGCTGCTGTTTGGAGAAGAGAGTGTAGGGAAGCAAGAATGGAAGTACTACGGCCCATTAGAAAGTTGTTGTGTGAGTCCAAGAAAGAGGTGATGGTGGCTGGAAGTAAAGAAGACATTGTGGAGACAGAAAGGTCCAGAATTGTGACATTTCTGAGATTTTACCCTAGCTGCAAGCTATCAATTTAGGCTGCCACAGTTTCAAGCATGCTGGTAGAAGACATGAGACTCCTGAGTGCAAGATTAAGGACAGTTTATTATTACTCCTAGCAATGGCATCAGCCAGGGTATCAGCTTTTTTGATGCTGGTTTCCTGAGCCCCAGTTCCACAGGGTGAAATGGAGAGGGCCAGATGACACCTGCACAGGCCAGGGGTTGCATTACAGGAGAAGAACCCTGAGCTTGGGAACCCAAACCTTTTATAAGGGTCAGTAAGCAGTGATCCATTTACTAAGACAGGGAAGACTGGAGGAAGTGCAGGTATGAGTCAGTCATTGCACATGGATGATGGAGCTCTGTTTGGGGATATTTACATTTGAGATGCCTGTATACAATGAAGTGGAGACATTGAGTAGGTAGGGATCTATGAACTGGTCCCAAGAGAGAGGTGAGGACTTGACATGTAAATTTGGAAGATGGCACTGTCAAGACGGTATTTGAAATATAATCACCCAAGAATCTTCATTATATTTAGTGAGAAAGCACTAGACTTGTTCTCCTAAAAAGCAAGAACAAGATAACAGTGCTTATTTACATGAGCAATAGAAACGTTTGCAAGAATTTTCTAGCTCTTTGCCTTCAACTATAGGATAGAGATAAAGGGGAAAGACACTTACTTTTGGCAAATGTGCAGTAATTACCTAGAAAATCATAGAAAACTAATACAGATGGTAAATGAAGTTGGTAAGATGCAGGATAGAATATAAAGCCACAAAATAAATTGAATTGTTACATACTCACAAAATAAAGCTTTAAAATGCGCATTCTCTCACCCATGCTGTTCCCCCTACCCTGACATCTCTTCCTCTAATATCCATTAGGTCTCAATTTAAACTTCCTTCTCCCCAGGAAGCCTGATTACTGAGAAGGCAATGAGTGTAACATTAATAACCATCATTTGCTGAATGCTTTTTATTTGGCACCATGCTCAGTTCTTTGCCTATACTATCTTATTGAATCTCCACAACAGGGAAAATGCATTATCATCCTCACTTTTCAAATGAGGAAACTGAGGCTGGGTGAGATGAAGTCCTTTGCCAGAGGTATCACATGTAGCAAGGGATCATTGCATAGATCTGAGCAAGGCTCTGGGTATCTGATTCCAGCATCTGTGTGGATAATCACTTTCTTATCTCTGAGCTGACCCAAGTCCCAGGAATGAGGTGTGTGATCAACAGAAACTACGGTTACAGGGGGTCTGTTCTGTGTTCACTGCCTGGTGCAGACACACGTATTATCTCAGTTACTCCTCACCCACACTGTGCAAGGCCATTGTCACTGTCCCCTACTTATAGGGAAGAAAACTAGAGGTCAGTAGGCCAGCCAGATGAGCTTCCCTTTCTGGCCTCTGTAAAGAGTGGTCCTTGTGTCCCTAGAAGTGGAGATTCTGATTCCAATTCCATGGGCTTCACATGGAACAACCTTTCAGATGATTTCCAGATGATTCTGATGGACATTCAGAATTGGGAATCACCACGGGTGCCTGGGTGGCTCAGTCGGTTGGGCGTCCAACTTTGGCTCAGGCCATGATCTCACTGTCCATGAGTTTGAGTCCCGCATCCAGCTCTGTGCTGACAGCTCGGAGCCTGGAGCCTGCTTTGGATTCTGTGTCTCCCTCTCTCTCTCTAGACCTCCCCCGCTCGCACGCTGTCTCTCCCTCTCTAAAAATAAGATAAAAAAAAAAAAAAAGAATTGGGAATCACCACTCTAAATAAAGTGCTTTCTACTCAAACTTTGTCTCTACAGATACTACCCAAGTGGAGATGCCTTTGCTTCAGGATCAGATGATGCTACGGTATGTTTCCAAGTTAGAGAGCTTTTCCTATTTGAGAGAGAGATGCAGTGGTTTAATTTTATTTTTCAAAAAAAACTTTTTTATTACAGTAATGTGAATTCATTGAGGAAAAGTTGGAACGGGGATTCAAATATCTTAATCTCCTAACCCAAGAAAAATCACAGTTGGGTGAATTCCTTTCTTTCTTATTTTTTAACAAAGTGCTTTATAATTTGCTTTTTTTCATTTAGCAATAGACTGTGAACACTTTCGTGTGTCAGTAATTAACTTTTCTAAATTATATTTTCTTAGTGATTGAATAGTATTCCATGTTATGGACATGCTATGTACTTTATGGACATGTTATGTACTTTAGTCAATTTTTGGACATTTAGGTCTTTCAGGGATTTTGTTTTCTGTTAAAAAACGCTGCTATAAGTAAATATTTTTGGTACTTATTATTTCCTTAGAATTAATTCCCAGACATGAACTTGCTAAGTCAAAAATAGACCAACTTTTAAGGCTTTTGATACTGTCAAGTTATGTTGACCTATTTTTCTAGAGAAAAAAGTTGCCTTTGGTGCCCTCAAAATATGTAATATTATATTATAGTGAGTTTCATCTTAATTTGGTCCTATGGAAGAAAGTACAAAGGGGTAGATTGAATGTTTTAACAATAATAAAGATTTAAAACTTCCGTATGCCAAAAAATGTGTAACAAATTATAAGGGCATACATCTAGGAAAAATTCTTGCCACCTATATGACAGACCAAATTGAAATCTATTAGATATAAATGGGGTTGCATAATCAGTAAGATAATACCCTAATTTTAAAAAAAGAGGATACAATGCAGACTGTTTACAAAGCAGTAAATCCGACATGGCAAGCACCTGAAAACGTTTTCAGACCACGTGTAACCCAATACATGCAAGTTTAAGTGATCATTGCTCATTTGGATTAGCAGTGAAATGCTGAATCGTGGAGGTGATGTGGTAAAGGAGCCTGGAGTTAGGACCATTGGTACCACCCTTACAGAGGACAGTTTTGCCATACAAATCAAGAGCTTTTGTAACATCTCTACCCTTTGATCTGGTCATACTATTTCTTGGAAACAGTTTTATTCTAAGGACTCTATTCCTTAACTATTATAAGGGAAACATCAGAGATGTGCATAAAGATTTTTACAGAAGAATGATCATCAAGGGGCACCTGGGTAGCTCAGTTGGTTAAGCATCCAACTCTTGATTTCTGCTCAGGTCATGATCTCACAGTTTGTGAGTTTGAACCCCACATGGGGCTCCTTGTTAACAGTGCAGAGCTTGCTTGGGATTCTCCCTGCCTCTCCCCTGCTCGTGCATTCTCTCTCCGCCTCTCTCTCTCTCTCTCTCTCTATCAAAAATAAAGAAACTTAAAAAAAAAGAATGGCCATTAACCTTTTATTTATAAAAGAGAAAAATTAGATAACAATCAAAAGGCATGATTAAACATATTCTGATATATCCACATGAGGAATATGCAACAACCATGTTAGTCATGTGGTTTTGAAGATTATTTAATGATATGAGAAAAAAACTCATAACCTAATGTTAATAGAATTATGAGATATCCATTCCATTTAAATACACACACAAAATGGAAATAAGACTGAAGGAAATAGCCTAGATGTTAGTAAATACTTCCAGGATTTGGGGTGGTTTTTATTTCCTTCTTTAGGCATTTCTGCATTTTTCTGTATTTTCTACAATGAATATGTATCCTTTATCAGAAAAAAGGGTTTCATTTTTGCTTTTGTACCCCAAAAGTCTTCTGTATTTGCTGTTTCTTTGAATCTGTACTGATCCATGCAGATTATTAGGAATCAGAATTTAGGGAGAAACTACTAGGGGAGAAAACTGGAGATATTTCCCTTATCCCTCAAACTACACAAGCCACCAGCACCTGCATATAGCCCTGTGGTCATCTCTTCACCAACCCAGAGCCAGAAATAAGTGCTTCTTTATCTTCTTTGTCACACCAGTGTCGCCTCTACGACCTCCGGGCAGACAGGGAGGTCGCCATCTATTCCAAAGAGAGTATCATATTTGGAGCATCCAGTGTGGACTTCTCCCTCAGTGGTAAGATTTTATTTCAGAAACATTCCTGGGACTGTAAGACAGGACCTAAATGAAACCCAGCTCTCGATCCAGCTTTCAGCTGAACTTCCTATGAACCAGTATGTTAAGCAATCTACATCTGCACCAGTTTTCTTCCACGACCCCCCACCCCACCTCACCCTACCTGAAGTGGCCTCCCCTATCCTGTTCATTTTAAGGGAGATGAAGGCTATGCCCACCTAATGCTGTTCTTTGAGACAATGCTGTATGAAACTTCCTATCTGTAGTGCCTTTAATTAGTCATTTCCTCCTCCGCCTTCCATTCTCCCCTTCATACCTTCAGAGGTGGAGGGGGTGAAGCAGCAGTCCCTTTCTCAATGCCCCAAAGCTCATGGCTCCTCTGACCTCACTGCTGGGGAGGCTGCTAGTGAAAGAGCAGCACTGATAGGACCATTCAGTTTCCCCAGACACAGCCCCCATTCTGCATCCGTGCTTTTATGCGTGCATGCTGCTATGCTGCCTACGGTATCTTTTGCCTCCCTTCTCTGCCTGGTGAACTCCTACTCAGCCCTCATGAGCCAACTCATGTCCTTCCTCTGCAGTGCCCTCCTTGATCCCCCTTCCTCCATGGTCACACAGCACTTCACACACAGCTAAGCACTTCCATTACAGCCCTTATCATCTAGTGCTACCATGTGTTAATTTAGGTGTTTGTCTGCCTGCCTGCCTGCCTGCCTACCACCACCACCACCATCCACAAGGGGCAGCAACTTCTCTGAATCCCCAGGGCAAAGCACATTGCCTGGCACATAGCGGGCACTAAATCACTGTTGAATGAATGAATGGGCAAGTGACTGCATGAGTGAGTCAGTGAAAGTCATGAAAAGAAAAACAAAGGGAGGAACTGGTTCAGTAACCATCATGTCCTTCTACTTTGAGGTCGCCTGCTATTTGCTGGATACAATGATTATACCATCAATGTCTGGGATGTTCTCAAGGGGTCCAGAGTCTCCATCCTGTTTGGACATGAAAACCGCGTTAGCACTCTACGAGTTTCCCCCGACGGGACTGCTTTCTGCTCAGGGTCATGGGATCATACCCTAAGAGTAAGAGAGCAGCTCTTCTATTTTACTGTGTGTGTGTGAGAGGAGAAGTGGTTGGCCTTCTTAAAGCAGAGACTGAGGGTAATGTAGGCTGGGCTGTGTCAGCCAGAAAGAGCTCTAATTTCAGCTCTATAGCCACAGAAGGGATGAGTTGCCTGGGGAGATAGTGAATTCCCCCTCAGTGTAAGTGTTCAGGCATAGATTAAAGTGTGTATCGGCATGTAACTGAGGTAATAATTGGGGTAGGTGATCCAAAAGATTCCCTTTGATCCTACAAGTAGGATTCTTCTGATTCTAGCCTTTGGCAAACCACAGAATGCCCCCAATAGTTCAGGGTTCTTATCCCACGGTGACATAGCCCTGTGAGACCCACAGGGGGGCTTTAGGGGACCCATGAAGCTCTTGAAATTATATGTCATATTTCATGTGTGCCTGTTTTTCTGGTAAAAGTGTCCTCTTGGCTTTCATCAGATTCTCAAAGAGCTCTATGATTTTGTTGGATGTTGGCTCCCCAGAAATATCTCCAAAATAGGCCTATTCATAATGCAAAGCTAAATTTAAGGGACAAAGCACAAACGTGACAATCTTAGTGGCAGTCTTAGAAGGGGATACAAAGACAGATGTTTATGAGGTGCGGGGCTGGGGAGTCTGGTTTAAGACCAGATGCAGGGATTTAATTAGGATTGGACAAATTTGTGGCATAATAGTTTAAAGATTGCTGGACACAGTGTTGGGGGAGGAAGAGGATTTTGAAGACAGTCTTGAAAAGTAACCAATCATTTTTGATGCTCTGTGTTGGCCTGAGAGAGGTCTTCTCTAAAGAGAGTAGTTGAGTCATCTACTCTTAGGATAAGTACATTAAAGGATTTTTGTGAAGTTCCTAAAACAACAAAGTTTTCTGTGACTTTATCTTCCTGGGCAAGTTTCCTAAATTAGTAGTCATGTTAATGTACTCAGTGTGGGTACAGATGGTTTTGGTACTTAGCCTAAGAGTTACTAGTCCCTAATAAGAAAGCACAGATGCCCTTCAGATGATTAACTAAGTGGGGCTGGGGGAATAGGCCCAAAGAAGTACCTTTGAGTTACCAGGAGTAAGGTGTAATCCATCCAAGACATGTGAGTGCTTTATTTTGGATGTGGGGTGTGAGTGTGTGTGTGTGTGTGTTTAATGTTGATTTTCTCTCTTTAAACTCCAGTTTTGCAAGTCAATAACTACTAAGGGACTACAAATTATCTGTTTGTGTTCGTGTCTTTGCAGGTCTGGGCTTAATCGTCTCTTCACAATGCACACCTGAGAGTAGAATTTGAAATCATCACATGTAAACAGATCTTTCTTCTAGAGGATCTGAGGGCTACTGCAACTTAGCTTAAAGGAGCAACTCTATGGCTGAAGTTCACTCAGCGTCCCCAGTATTATCATTAAAACTACCACCCTTGGAAAGATACTGGTGTGAGCCTCCAGCACTAGGACACCTTCAAGTACAGTGTCTTGCATTTTGAACACTTTTTAAAATTTATCCATTTTTAAGGTTATTCTAGTTATATAGTCTCATCTCATTCTATTACCAACAGGATTCAGCATTTAACATATCCTGTAGTACTTCCTTAAATGAAATTTGTTTTCAGAGCACTTTAAAATCTGATTCCTCTCAGTGTGCACTGTCTTTGGAACCTTCCTCTAGAAGTGCTGATCTTAATGCACTACATGAGGCAGACTGTACTGACTAGTCTGTGATAGAAGATTCCAATTCCAAATGTAATTGGAAAATAATCACTTTTTTAAGTTTATTTATTTATTTTGAGAGAGAGTATATGTGCATGCGTGGGGGAAAGGCAGAGAGAGAGGGAGAGAGAGAGAATCCCAAGCAGACTCTGTGCTGTCAGCACAGACCCCAATGCAGGGCTTGATCTCATGAACCTGTGAGATCGTGACCTGAGCCGAAATCAAGAGTTGGATGCTTAACCTACTGAGCTACCCAGGTGCCCCTGGACATAATCACTTTTTAAAAATTTTTTTATTGTAAAAATTTTTCAGTCTGGTAGTGTCTTTTTCAGATCAAACATTTCCATCTCTGTGAACAGTTCTAAATGAAGGAGAGATAGGCATTGAGTGGACAGGATGTTTGATTTATGAATTCTGTGATGATGCAATCACTTGGACAGGATATTTCCTGTCATTGAAGAGTAAAGCTGAATGCTGTTTGTGACACAAATGCTTCTCAGAGCAACCAGAACCTTTCTGTGCAGGAACACAAGACCGCAAACTTATTTAAAAACCTGTTAGTAATAGTAGATGTTCTAGAATTAATAGCATCCACTCAGGCTAAAGTAGATCATATCCATATAAAGTATATTCATATTTATTGCATTGAAAAAGTAATTACATATGCAAATTAACTGATAGGTCTTGAGTAATAATGTCTTTGCTGCTCTTATATTGAGAAAAAAGAACACAAAAAAATACCTTGTCTTTATTTGAAATTCAGCGTTTCCTTCTGGAAGACACCAAGAATTTTTGTTACGGGATCCCTTTGTCCTTTTTTAAGGTGTTGAGGGCTCTTCTTTCATTCATAAACATGGCATGCATTACTTAATCAAACAGAAGGTCACCTCACACACCAAAAATCATTCCCAGTGGAGGCCTGCCCTGGGGGTGGTCTGGGGTCCTGTGGTGCCCTTGGGCTTGTGTGCTGAGGGCCCTGGGTCATCCAGTCTCCTATCTTGGCCCTGCTCCAGCCTGGCCCTTCTCCTAGTAGTAGTTCTGGCCCTGCTGTTCAGAGAGGCCCTCCCAGAGCTGGAACAGGGCATGGCCATCAGACAGGTCTGGCCCTGGGCCTCCTGCAAACATCAGGGCGTGCGCCAGGCCCGCCCTCAAAGCTACTGGTTCAGGTATCATAATGGGCCAGTCAAAAATCAGCTAGGCTAGCTTTTCCATTAATTATTTTCAAGTAAATATAATGGTTAGATTCAGCCATTTGCCAAGCAAACATTTTACTGAGGGTTTTACTACACAGCAGGCCTTGGGGTAGAGAGAGAAATGTACAAGGCCCCTGCTTGACTCCAAAGAGCCCAGAATGAGCCACCTTCTCTCCCCTTGCCCAGTGGAATGCAGTCTGGGCAAGGGCTCAGGGAAATGGGCCTAGCCAGCTCCTGCCAGCTGATTAAGGGCCAGGCCCCTGAGTGTGTCTCACAGAATTCCCCAGCTGCACTCCCAGAACATCCCAGAGTTTGCTCCTGGTCTCCTAGTTATAGCACCCCCTTCCCTCTCTCCTACAGACCCTTTAGTGTCTCTGCACTCTGACCTGGACCTCCTAGAAGTGAAGGAATACAGGACAAAAGAAAAGTCATCTAGACTATGGGGAGGCAAATTCAAGGTTATGTTTGGAGAGGCAGAGAGCATCTTCAGTATATGTGCAAAAATGGCCCATAACTTTCCAATTAAAAAAGCTTTGGGGGACAAAAAACGATGAACGCATTCCCTAGAACACTCGCTTACCCACGTTGGCAGTAAACCACCACCCACCGTAAGTATTTGATTTCACAGTGGGTGTTGTTTAGTATTTATTAATGAAATACTTGGTTTGGAATATACCACACCATGTGGGGACTCCAGGGTAACTCCGGTAATAAATTGTATTTTGCATATTGAAAATAAGGCTGAGTGGAGTTTTTTAATCAGTTTTTCTTCTCTTTCCTTTTTTTTTTTTTTTTTAAAGGATTTGGGGGCAAACTACCAAACCAGTTGTGGTGAAGGGTCCATATGGATGTACCCTTGGGTGTGCACAGCTAGAGAATGGTTAGGCAAGAAGGGTGGGTCAGGTAAGGAGGGGTGTGGTGATGGGCATTTATGGGAAATACCTGTGAACTGAAATCAAGGCAGCTGCTTTGGCGTGGGCTGCTGGCCTCGCAGAAGTGGGGCCCAGCTGCCAGCCCTCTTCTGGAATGAGCCAGAGACCAGAGGCAGGCGCTCCCTATCTACTTCCCTCTTTCACCCCTTGACCTCCTCCACACCTTCCCTAGATTACAAGTGGCTTAAAGGCAGCAAAAGGTCATAAAGGTGTTTGTGCCCTGGACTCTCACGGTTACTTGGCCAGCTGACTGGAAGGTGACACCACTGACACCAGGACCCATCTGTAAGTTAGATGGGGACAGCATGGTGACAAAGGGTGTGCACCTAGGTTCAGACCCAGCTGTACCTCTATCATAGGATACATGATACCTGAATTTCTCAGCCTCAGTTTCCTCATGTGTAGAATGGGCGAACACTAAAATATGTAAAGCACCTACCTCAGCCTTTGGCACATCTTCAACAACAGTTCCCTGTTTCCTCCATCTGTCCACCATCCTTCCTGCCCCACCACCCCTTCCTATCCCCTCTCTCTCTTCTCTTTTTCCCATGCCTACCCCCTGCCTCCATCTCCTCTGGTCCTCGCTATTTCCCTTCCCTTGCTTTTTCTTCACTTCAGCCCTCCCCCCATTTCCTCCCCCTCCTTAAGCAGCCCCCAATCATGTATCAAAGTAGTAATTATCATCCAGTAGAGATTCATCTGGGCCAGTGGTTCTTAAGGTATTTGGTCTTAATGATCCCTCTACATTTTTAAAAATTATTGAGTTTTGGTTATGTGGGTTATATCTATTGTATCTATTATCATATTAGAAATTAAAACTGAGAAAATTGTAAAACACAAGAATACAGAAGCCATATTCCATTGGTGATGCTTTTACCAGATAACAAACAGTAGCCTCTGGATAACTCCCCAGAGAATGGGAGTCTTAAAAGACACAAATACAAAAAAAGAGTATAATTCTGAAAATAGTTTGGACCTTGGGGGGCCTCCTGAAAGGGTCTCAGGATTGGGCCTATACTTTGAAACAGCTGATGGGGCTAACGATCCCTTCTCAAGAACCACTGTGTGAGAACCCCCCCTGAGGGCAGTAAGGCCCTCACAGGACCTTGGGAAAAAAGGAGGGTGAGGATGAGGATCATTGAAAGGAACTGGAGGAGAGGTCCTCAAAGGAGGTTCCAAAGGGGCACAGAGAGGCAGTTGGGAAAGGCTAGAGGCCAACTGGGGCCTGTGGAATGCTAAAAATCTTTTTTTTTTTAATTTTTTTTTTCAACATTTATTTATTTTTGGGACAGAGAGAGACAGAGCATGAACGGGGGAGGGGCAGAGAGAGAGGGAGACACAGAATCGGAAACAGGCTCCAGGCTCCGAGCCATCAGCCCAGAGCCTGACGCAGGGCTCGAACTCATGGACCGCGAGATCATGACCTGGCTGAAGTCGGACGCTTAACCGACTGCGCCACCCAGGCGCCCCCTAAAAATCTTTTCAGATGAGGGCCACTTGGGATCCTGGGGTAATCCCAGTAGATAGGTTAAATTAACTGGGGTTGGAGTTGGGGCCGTATTGCTGCCAGCTGACTTCCTCCCAAGCCCTATAGAGCTGACTGAGCAGGGAGGTGTAGATCTGCATTTCCCAAATCTGCCTGCTGAGAAAAACCACGCAGGTCAATAGCAGGTTAAAAATATGGGTCCTAAAACTATAGATATAGTTTCTGGAGATCTGGACTGGGAAGGACTGCAGAGGGCCAGGGATTCTGATGAGGCAAGTTGGGGGAAAGCTCTCAGTGAATCTTTTTGTCTCTGTGGATCCTTTCCAAGAACATGAGGCTAAACCATTCACCCTTTCACCCGTGATAGGAGAAAATCAAGTCACTCTTTAAAGCGTAGCACAGACCCTTCATTCTCTAGATGGGACGTGGCTGGAGCTAGGCTGGCCTTCAGGACTGATCAGTCTCCAGAGTAGGCTGACTCACAGCCATTTCTGGTGAAAAAAATGAAATTAGTATGTTTGTGTCATTGTATAAAGGATGCAGACCCTCTCGTGAGGAGATGGGCTCAGGAATGATGCTTTAGTTAATTTAACTGCATAAATAAATACAAACAACTAAATATAAGTATGGTATGAACATTTATGCAAAGGTTGTGACAACCGAAAATGCCTATCTTTGAACCAAATACATCACTGGTGAATACTTAACGTTATTGTAAACCAGGAACCAGGAACCAGGAACCAGAGGTCAACCCATCTGTGCTCCCCAGTAACAGGCATCTTCACACCCCTAGATCTGTACCCAAGAGAAATGAAGACCTGCCCACACAGAAACTTGAACACAAATGTGCACAGTAGCCCAAAGTGGAACATCTCAAGTGTTCAACAACTGAGGTATGGATGAACAAACTGCGGCATATCAATATGATGGGATATTACTCGGCCATAAAAAGGAATGAAGGGCTGACTCATGCCACAACATGGATAAACCTTGAAAACATTATGCTAAGCAAAAGAAGCCAGACATAAAGGACCATGCCGTATATGAGTCCATTTATGTGAAATATTCAGAATAGATAAATACACAGAGACAGAAAATAGATTGGTGGTCACTTAGGGCTCGGGTTGGGATGAATGGGTGGGGACTGCCAATGGGTATAGGATTTCCTTTGAGGTAAGGGAATTAGATAGTGATGTCTGCACAACTCTGGGAATATACTAAAAACCACTGAATTATATACTTTGAAAAGGGTGGACTTCATGGTATGTGAATTATATCACAGTTAAGCCGTTAAAAAATATATGGAAAAAATAGGTAGTCTGTAGCTATTTTCAATATTTACAAAACAAAACAAAACAAAGAAACCAGATCGGTAAGGCTCACCAACATGTCACATTTTGATTTTTGGTTCAAAGTGGTTGGACGAGGGGCATCTGGGTGGCTTGGTTGGGTGTCCGACTTCAGTTCAGGTCATGATCTCAAGGTCCATGAGTTCGAGCCCCACGTTGGGTTCTGTGCTGTCAGTTCAGAGCCTGGAGCTTGCTTCGGATTCTGTGTCTCCTTCTCTCTCTGCCCCTCCCCCACTCATGCTCTGTTTCTATCAAAAAATGAATAAACGTTAAAAAAAATTAAAAGTGGTTGGATGAGTGAGCATGGGAAACCCTGGTTAGTTCGTATTAACAATAAAAATTTCTCTGTAAAGAACTTTTCCCATGTGCCAGGCACTGTGCTAAGCACCTTGCATGCACCAACTCATGTAATCCTTGTAACAGCCATATGGTGCAGGTAGGTTATTATTTGCATTTTTTAGATGGGGAAATTGAGCGTAGGAGAGTTGAATAAGTTGCTCATGGCTGCATAGCTTCTAAGTGGCAGAGCCCGAATTTTAACCAAATCTGACTGCAAACTGCCTCCTTGCATCCTGTGGATCAGAAATTCTGTGTAGAGGTTAATTCGTTCATTTTCTGTTTGGTTCAACTGATAATTATTAGGAGTTAACCAAGGCAGGGCCAGAAGATTTACCACTCACCCCCAAGCTACTCCTAATCTAAGAAAAAACTGTGCTTGCTGCTAAAATATAATGTTCAAAAAGGTAAAATCATGGATCTCTGGCAGATCAAATATGATCACACATCAAAACATTTATTTAACTCAATGAGGGAACCCCTAAGATGTCAAAAACAGTTTGAATCAGAGCTTGATGTACAGAGATTTATACTCCCTTCTCACAAAATTCATTTGGCTCACTATAAATAAATCACTGACGTTGGTACACCAGGCACCCAGCAATACTGCTGGCCAGCTGAACCTTTGTAGGGAGAATTCTATTGTTGCCATACTCTCTCCCTGTTCCCATAGCCTCTTTGTTCACAGACCCTAGAGCAAGCACTGTCATGGCTAGGTAAAGAAGCTCTCTGACATCCACAGACCACAGAATTTTGTCTACCTGATTATTGAGTCTGCTCTGCAGTGGCTGCCCTTTTGGGGCGTTCATATGAGACATGAATATCTTCAGTCTGTACCCATCCAGAGGGATTCGGCCACATTATCTCTTTCCAAGATTTCCTTGTCACCAATCTTCCAATCCTGTTCTTTTCAAGGCCCTGATAATCCAGCCAAATCATTCAGCAACTGCCCAAGAATCAATGTAGATCTGTACTCTGGCCATCTCTCACTCCAGACCTAGTGGACAATCAAATACCTGGCTTGAATCCCTGTCCACTGGGAGGATTTTCCTTTACCACTGTCTTCATAGTCACCCCTGAGTGGGGTTGTGATGCTACAGCTGTCCACTCTCATGTGGTACCAGCACATCATATAGACCCATCTGTAATGGGTCCCTCAGTCAACTGATCCTAAGCAATCCCTTGGAGGCCACAGGCATGGAATGAGGGAGGGGGCAAAGCAACAGGAGTTGGTGTTGTAGGACTCTGAGCCACCTGCTCATGCAATTTACTTGTACTTTATGGACCACCCTGAGTTCAGGCATATATATATTTACACATGATGACAGATTGCTGCTGTGTATGTCCAATGTATGTCTAGGTAGGTCAGACAACATTCACATGAGAGCTCAAGCTACATGGTCAGTACTGTGGTTAGCCATTCAACTTCTACCAAGGTCCAGTAGCAAGCCAGAACCTGCTTCTTGAAAGAGTAGCTACCTGCAGAAAAGGACATAGATTTGCTTTGAAAACCTAGAGGTCTATGCTGTAATTCTCCTATTGGTGTTTGCTGGAGGCTACATACAGCATCCCTATTTGACACATTAAGTATCATGGGATCTATTGGATCATAAGACCCACGTGGTAGACCAGCTTGTACTATAGCCTGCATATGCTACAGAACCTTCTCTTGTCCTCCCCAATCCACTAGGCTGTATAGATGGGTTGAAGTCACACTCATATGTGGTGTATGTTGCCTCCAAAATCCAAAAGGACCTACCAGGTGTCATACCTCTTTTTTCTTGTAAGTGATACAAGATGCAGGAAACTCATCTTTCACCCTGAACGGGATATTTCAACATACTCCAGACCACTGAACCCCCAGAATTTTCAATGAGGATACCAATTCTGGATCAGTCTGGGTTCAATCCGGAGAAAGAAGCCATACAGTATCATGAACAGAGAAAGGTTAATATAAGAAGTATTAACTAAAATATGGGATCGGAATAATGAGGAATTGACCAATAAAAAGTAAAGAGAATTCTATGCAATATAAGAACGGTAGGTACCAGAAGCAGCCACTATCCTGGAGCTGAGTACTGAACCAATCCCACTATAGTGATAATTAAACCCTACTGTGATGGCTTCTTTCTTTGTTTCATCACTAGGGTTCTTGAGAACAGGGACCACGTGCTTTGTTCTCCATTACATCTCCTGTGCTAACAGGCTCTGAATGAACAAATACAGCCAGCATTGGCACTCCAGCAGCCTGCAGGAGACTTATCCTTTTTCCTGCCGCATATGCCAGATCCAAAGAAAGGTATCTCCAACATACACCTGGGTGCTTCTGTCCAATCGGGAGATGCTGATAATCCTTGCAAGGGAGTCGTCAGTGGAGCGCTATGTGTAGCCTTCGTCAGTTTCTTCTTAAAATGAGGAGGCAAAAATCTAGCCCAACTTCCCAGACTGTCCCCTCCGGGTTCTTAGTCCCCAGGCCCAGAGCTAAACAGTAAGCCCAAAGAAGCCTCACTCTGTTTCTGATCGCTCTGCGAACGCGTGCACACCACTGGGCCTGGCCTTTGGGACCAGAACAGGTGCACACGGGATTCCCATCAAAGCCTCCTCTCCAGACCTAGAAAAACAACTGCCCGGCGGAATCCGGGAGGGGCGTGCCGGCCCCTCCCTGGGCGGAGGCGCAGCCAGGCCTAGAAAACAGCGTCGGGTCGGGCCCCCGGCAGGGGTTAGGTCATGGCTGACGCGTTGAGGGAGCGCACGGCGCAGCTACTGACTGACTACCTGGAGTACTGCGCCCGGGAGCCCGGCAGCCCCGCGCGGATGCCGTCCACGCCCGAGGCCGCGGTGCTGCGCTACCTGGCCGCCCAGATACGGCAGCGCCACCAGCGTTTCTTGTCGGCTTACCGCGGCTACCGCGGAAACCGCGTGGAACTGGTGGCGCGGTTGGAGCAGGATTTACTCTCCAACCCCCAAACCCTCAGTTGGGGCCATGTGGTAGCGCTCTTGACCTTCGCGGGGACGCTGCTGGAGAGACCGCCGCCGGGGACCTACTTGAACCTGACGCCGGGCCAGCAACAGGAGCTGGAGTGGGAGACCAACGTTGGCCAGGACTGCCAGCACCTGGTGGCTTTGCTCTGCAATCGGCTCACCGGACGGCATCGCGCCTGGCTGGAGGCTCACGACGGCTGGGTGAGGCAGGGGGAGGGGGGGTACCTGGGGTGTGGGGACCGGGCAGGCAGCCAGAGACGCGCCCACGTGGCCGGCACCGGGAGGGACCGCACGGCGTCAGCCTGATGGGTTCCTTTCAGCACGACGAGGACATTTTGTGTAAAGTCCTGCTTTCTCCTCTCTTGGTGATGACAGATGGGCAGAAACCGCCCTTGCTAGCCGGCTGTCTTATTAGCTAATTATGAAGCAGCGGTGCATGAGCTGGTTTGCACACTTGGGCCTTACCCTTGCAGGGTCCTAGGAGTTTTAGGATGCGCCCACGTTGGGTCTGGATGCTTTGCTCATATAGAGATCCCCAAACTGGTAGAGTCAGCAGTGGAGTGACCCTGGGCCAGGTGGATTCTTTCTCCTCTGCCTATTAAACCTTTGGAGAGACAGGCCCCACAGCGCTGCAGGTTAGAGAGCACCAGCCTAAAACGTTAAGAATGAAAAGGCATCCTGTGGCTGAGCTCCCAACACCACTCCGGAGGAGCTGAGGCCAGGGGTGTTGAAGTGTGTGCAGGCACCCAATGGTGGTATTGTCTCTGGATTCCTTAACTCTAATCCACTGCACCCAGCCCTTAATTGGGTGATAACCAGGTGCTTTGGCTTTCAGCTGTACGTCATTGATCTGTGGCGTGAGCTAGAGGGGCAGGACATTGCCTTGCAGCTCCTAAATCGATTTAATGATCAAGGAAAGCCCACCACCCTTCAGTAAGAGGGTAGCATGCCTCTCGATTTCTGAGCTAAACTGTTCCTTTCCTCTCTTTCTACTGAAGTTGAATCAAGGACTGCAGTGACCCAGGTTACAGAATAAATATAACCAAACTATTAAAACCAACAATTAAAACAAAATCCAAGAGGAGCGCCTGGGTTGCTCAGTCGGTTAAGAGGCTGACTTCTCCTCAGGTAATCATCTCACGGCTAGTGAGTTTGGGCCTTGCATCAAGTGAGTTCAGGCCTGGCATCAGTCTTTCTGCTGTCTGTGCATAGCCCCTTCAGATCCTCTCTTTCCCTCTCTCTTTGCCCCTCCCCCCACTGTGTGTGTGTGTGTGTGTGTGTGTGTGTGTGTGTGTGTGTGTGTGTGTATGTGTATGCACACGCGTGCAGGCGCTCAAAAATAAACATTAAAAAAATCCGAAGAGTTAAGGAAGACCCTGCAGGAAATTTAGCCTCCTGTTGGCAGTTGGCATCACCTGTGGTGGTGAATTGGATTCCATCTGTGGAGGAGAGGTAGTATCTGAATCAGAACCTTGACCTTAGATGAACAACTTGAGGTGTTAGCATTAGTTCCTGCATTCTTACTGGTGTGTGTGCTGGTCTTCAACCATCCAGGACTATGATCCCTAAGAAGCCCACCTGAGCCATTTGTCTTAAGAAGGCATTTGGCCCCTGAGGGCCCTCTGCCCTTAAAGAGGAAACTGGGAGGAGGTCATTATTTTCATTTTGGCTAAACAACATTGACTAAGGAATAATCCTTTAACATCAAGAAGCTCCTATTCCCCCAACTGTGTAAATGGGACATGCCCACACCTCTCCCCTACAGTTAAAATGCCACTATCTGGACTTCCATTCCTTTCCTCTCTCTTTCTCTGAATGGAGCTGCTTGCTTTATTGTCTTAGGTGATAGTTTTCAACCTAGTGATTTGCCAGTTGCCCAAATGGCATCTGCCCTTTGCTAAGGAAAGAGTGTGATAGTCTACCTTCCTCTTAGGTTTTTTTTTTTCTTTGAATTTTTTTTATTTTTATCTTTTTCATTTAAAATTCCAGTGTAATTAACATACGGTGTTAGATACACATTAACTCAGATGTATACTATAGTGATTAAAATACGGAATGCTTCATGAATTTACGTGTCATCCTTGCCCAGAGGCCGTGCTAATCTTCCAGTTTTAATATAAGTGTTGCCAAAGCAAGCACTTTTTTAAAAAATTGAAGTATAGTTGGCATACAATATTATATTAGTTTAAAGGTATATGACAGTGTGATTCAGCAATTACATTATGGAATTCTCAACATAAGACTGTCACCATACAAAGCTATTAAATATTGACTGTATTCTCTGTGCTCTTTCATTCCTGTTTTGTTTAATTTTATAACTATTAATCCCCTTGACCTATTTTGCCTATTTCCCCACGCTGCTCCCCTCTCACAACCACCACTTTGTGTTCTGTGTTTATAAGTCTATTTCTGTGTCGTTTGTTGAGTTCTTTTGTTCTTTAGATTGCACATATAAATGAAATCATGTTTTTTGTCTTTTCTCGGACTTATTTCACCTAGCATAATGCCCTCTAGGCCTATCTATGTTGTTGCAAATGGCAAGATCTCATTCTCTCTTATGGCTAATATTGCATTATGTATACATACCACATTGCCTTTATCCATTCATTCATCGATGGATACTGGAGTCATTCTGTAGTTTGGCTATTGTAAATACTGCTGTAATGAACATAGGGGTGCATATCTCTTTTTGAATTAATGTTTTTTTTTCTTCAGGTAAATACTCAGAAGTGGAACTTCAGGGTCCTATGACATTTCAATTTTGGAATTTCTGGAGGAACTGCCACACTGTTTTCTATAGTGCTGCACCAATTTACATTCCCACCAACAGTTGTCTTTTCTATACACCCTCAGCAACTTTTGTTTTATGTTTTTGATACTAGACACTCTGACTGTGGTGAAGTGACCTCTCATGATTTTGATTCGCATTTTCCCTAATAATTAGTGGTGTTGAGCATCTTTTCCTGTGTCTGTTGGCCATCTGGATGTCTTTGGAGAAATATCTGTTCAGGTCCTCCACCCATTTTTCATTAGATTATTTGGTGGGAAAAGAGATTGGTATCCTCTTAGCTTTTGAAAACAAGTCAAAAGAGGAGTATTCGTTCTGTGACATAGTTAAGTGTCTCCTATTTCCTTCTTTGTTCTATGTTGGACTATTTCTTACAAATCCTAACTCAAAAGTTCCTAAGTACAAGTTGCCTCCTGGTATTTACTTTTTTCTACTTTTTAAATTCGGGAGTTATCTTACTATTGAACCCGAAGCTCCAGTGTGTTTTATTGAGTTCAGATGTGGGGCATTATGAAGCCATCTAATTCCCCTTCTCCCTCCCCCTTGTAGGATGGCTTTTGTCTCTTCTTCTCACCCATGCTGCCATCTTCTTGGAGAAGACTGCTGGTCCAGGCTCTTCTGTCATGCTTTACAGTAATGATCTTAATCTACTTCTGGAGAAGATTATTGTGAGTTCTAACATTTTTAGCCCATTTCTACCTGCTTAACTGTGACCAGCCAACTGAATTTGAGATGTGAGAGAATAGAACAGAGTAAACCATGCTCTGAGACATTTTCACCTGCATTTATCTGAGGAGTCCTGTGGTGATGACTCAGTTTTAACTCCTGGCAAGTATCAGAGGTATTAGGACAAAGGTACAAATGGCTCTTCTTTGGGGGAAATGGATTCTCAAGGCTCATTGCTCTAAAGAATTGCGGAAGAAACTACAAATTTTGTTTAGTAGGGAACATGGTGCTTTTTGCTACATTTGGATAAGAGTGAATATGTGTCCACAATTTCATGTGCTTCTACTGACTGATTCATCAAGGCAGTCTGTCAGGGGTGAAATACCAAAAGCCCTCCAAGTCCCAGTTTGACAAGGAATGTAATATTTAAAACTTTTATAAGGAAGTCTTTCTAAATCCTTTGAAACCTAATTACTAATTCTACCTTTCTAGATTTTATATATTTTTCTGACTTCAATAAATTGTTAACTATCTTTAGATTTTTAATAAATTTATATATCTTTTTAAAAATGTTTGTTTTCTTTGGAATTCAGTAAGACATTATTCTTAGGAGTAACTTGAATGGATGAAAATTTTCTTTTACTGTCTTTTAAAATATACATATAATTCTGTATTTTAAATGTTTAATCAATACACAAGCTCATAAGACGTTCTTTTCTTCCACCTTCTACTCTGCAGTTAATCCACCACCTGCAAGGTGATGGAGAGGAAAACTTTACCCTCTTAGGTTCTCCAGCTGAGGACTGTGAATTTAGCAGACACAAGACTGATTAACAAGTGAAAAATATATGGGTCTTCTTTGCTGTTTTTACAGGCGACTTTATAGAAAAGTGAAAACTTCAAAGAAGTGTGTAGATTCAGGACTTACCATTTTAACAAAGAGTGATAAATTGTGAAACAAGTAGGCAAAGGAAAGGGGTTGGACTTCTAGAGGTAGTATATTCTGGGGAAAGTGACTAGGAAATAGATGGGGGAAAACCAGTGGAAGATGAGGGTTATTTTAGTCAAGTTCACACAGATGGTTCTTGGTGTGGATTACCTTCTCCAAGGATGAGTTTTCTCCCCTTCCTGGTATAAGAGGACATGCTTCTCAGGCCACCTGGCTGGCTCAGTCAGTAGAACGTGCAACTCTTGATCTCAGGGTTTTGCATTTGAGCCCCACATTAGGGATAGAGATTACTTCAAAAAATCTTTACAAAAAGGGCACCTTTCTCACAGAAAATTTATGCCATACTTTTAGGCAGAAAAGTGGAGGGCAGAGAGCCCTTCCTGTATGTGCTATTTCTCGGTTGCCTTCAGTTCAAAATAATATGCCAAAGTTTTATATTTTGGAGTGACCTGGTCTAATCCACTTCAGTGGTTCACAGGGCTCACCATTATTCTGTAGCGATCCGGAATCCACATCTATCTGTCCTTTCTGAGCCCACCCAGACCCGCTAAGCTTGCCATATCCAAACAGGGATACTCTGGAGCCAGTGCTTACCAGGGCTGCCAGCAGCCCCAAGAAAAGCACCTATGAGGACCACAGCAAGCTAACCCAAATCTACTTGAACTTCTCCATGGCGAAAGTTGTTGCTGATGCTATCAGAACAAGCCTGGGACCAAAAGGATAAAATGATTAAAGATGGGAAAGGTGATTTGACCATTACGACTGATGGCACCACCATTCTGACACAAATGTAAGCGTTGCATCCGGCAGCCAGAAGGCTGAGGAAGCTGTCTGAGACTCAAGATAAAGAAGCATGAGGTGGCACCACATTGGTGGTCATCACTGCTGGTTTTCTTAGACTTGAGTATCAAGCTTTTTCAGAAAAGGATTCACCCAACCATCCTTTCCAAGGCATTCCAGAAGGAATTGGAAAAGGAGGGTATATTGAAATCTTAACACGTCTTGACCCATGGAACTAGGTGACAGAGAAACTTAGATATTGCAGCCACTTCATTGATCTGAAAGGTTTTCTGTGTTTAAGTCTGCTTTCTCCAGTAAGTGGAAATGCAGTGAAGGAAGTGAATGACTCAGCCACTACTACTGGTGTAGATCTTACAGATACCAAAGTAGTTAAACCTTGAGGGCATTGTGCCAAGTAAAATATAGTCTGATGAAGAAAGACAAATACTGATGATCTCTTATAGGTATAATAAAAAAAAACTGAAAAATTGAAAAAAACCAACATCATTGATACCAGGTTGGTAGTTACCAGGGGCAGGGAATGGGTGATCAGTTTTGTTTTAGTTTAAATAAATGTTTTTATGTATAGATATGCTGTATGTATAGTTATGTATGTATAGTTTATATATAAACTATATATAGCTTAAATATATAAAGAAACTGGGTGGGACAAATGATGACTGCAAGTTGGTGGAAGGGCTGGTTCTCACCCAAAAGATGAGCTAACCAGATTTGAAAAGGCTAAGATTGGGCTTATTCAGTTTTCCTTATTTGCTCCCAAAACGGATAAAGATGATCACATAGTAGTTTCTGATATGCGCAAATGGGCCCAGTGCTAAGAAGAGAGAGCCTGTATTCTAAATTCAGTGAAGCAAATTTTTAAAACTGGTTGTAACGTTCTCCTAAAGAAGTCTATTCTTAAGAGATGCTCTCTGTGATCTTGCATTACATTTCCTGAACAAATGACGATCATGGTGGCTAGGGATATTGGAAGAGAAGACACTGATGTCATCTGTTAGACAACTGGATCCAAGCCAGTTGCTCATATTGACCAATTCACCAGTAACATGGTAGATTTTGCTGAGCTGGCTGAGGGGATAAAACTGTTCAAGATCACTGGGAAAAAGTTCTAACTGTGCATGGTCCTAAAAAATGGTGACTGAAGAAGCTGAGTGCTCCATTCATGATGCCCTATGTGTTATTTGCTGTTCAGTGAGGCGAGAGCTTTTATGAGAGGTGGTACTCCAGAAACAGAGTTGGCACTATGGTTAACAGAATATCCATGAACATTGAGTGGTATGGAATCCTGTGTTCTAATGCAGCTGTAATGGAAGTCATTGCATCTACACTAACTGAAGCTGCTGGCCTGAATCCCATTTCTGCAGTACTAGAACTAAGAAACTGGCATGCCCAAGGAGAAAAACTACAGGCACTAATGTCCAAAAGGGTGGTATTTGCAATTATTTTGGAAGAACTTTGTTGTCCAGCCTTTGCTGGTTTCAGTCAGTGCACTGATTCTAGCAACCAAAACTGTCTGGAACATTGTACAAATTGATGATGTGGCTAACAGTAATCTGGGTAACACTGGCTGACTGGCATCGTCATGGCCACTGATAGTGTGGCTGGAGTAGGAGACAGACTTGGTGTTCCTTGTTCTTCCATTTGGCATTTGCTTGAAATGGTATTTACACAACCTAACAAAAATACTAAATACGTGGTTTTAAAAAATGGTATGGTATCCCTCCAGGCCTTCCTGGCTATTACTAAAACTGGACCTGCTCTTGTGACTAGTCTTGTGAACCCTTTGTCTTCAGAACATTTGGCTCTGCCTCGCTGTTCTGTCCCAGGCGTCAGCACACAGCCCACTTCAGATCCTGTCTCTGTCTCTGTCTCTCTCTCTCTCTGCTGCACCCCCCTCAAAAATAAACATTAAAAATATCCTTGGCAATTTTTGTGAATTGTTTAAAGTGAGTTCTGAAAAACCCTTTATAAAGAATCCATTCAGACACTGCTTTAGAATTTTTATTAGAATGGGAATGGATTATAGATTAATTTGGAAATAAGTATCTTTACAACATTTTGTCTTTCCTTCTAAGAACATAAACTCTTCATTTTTTATTTATTTTTTTTTTTTTTTTGGTCTCTTAGGATTTCCTTCAAGAACCTTCCAGGTTCTGTGTTCTTAGGTGTCTTCCAACACTTTGCGTTCCATGGCTATTGCGAATAGAATCTAGAGAGGGTATTTTGTCTTCCCCATTTCCCCTAACACCCTCAGTTTTCTTAGGGGAAACTACCTCTGCTTTGTTCTTAGACCTTGTGGTTCTGGTGAGATTGACTCCTCCCTACGTGACCCTATTTTAAGTTCAGAAGAATGACCCAGACCTGACCTAAGAGTGAAAGTAACAGGACTCAATTTTAAGATTTCTGTGGACACTATTAAATGAGACTTTTTCTTATCTGGGGTGTGTTCAGTGCATGGAGAGAGCCTGCCTGGAAGAGAAGATCTCACAGGACAGAAGTCAGAGATTTGGGGTAGGGTGGAATGTGGAGAAACAGTAAGAAATTGAATTAGATTCTAAATCCGGCTATTATGAACACTCAATAGTTCTAGCTAATGTTTCTTTCCTAATATTTCTCACTCTTGTCTTGGTTAGTTGTATAGGTTAGTGAATGTGTGTGATAGTTGTTTTCTATGTACTAGAAAATTCCCTTGATTTTGGTTGATGGCCTTCCTTTCTTCCAGCCCTTTTTTTCACTTTTCACAGCATTTTAGGAGGGTGGAGTCATGGAGCCATTGCTCAAATGATAATTTAATCTAGGACCTGTCAGGTTTTTGAGTAAATTAAGGATTACACACACGTGTTACTTATCTGTAGTAAGAAACAATATCCTAAAGGTGAGCATCACTGACATTGCTGAGTTATGAGGCATTCCACTTTGGGAGAGTGTTGTTGTTGTTGTTTTAAGTTTGTTTATTTTGGGAGAGAGAGAGAATCCAAAGGAGGCTCTGCACTAATGGTGCAGAGCCTGACGCAGGGCTTGAACTCACAATGAGATCATGACCCGAGATGAAACCAAGAGTTGGACATTTATCCAACTGAGCCATGCAGGCACACTGGGATAATGTGTTTTTACTACAGTATCTAACTTCAAGACAAATCATCTTCTCATTGTTTTTAGCATGTGGCTGCTTTATTCCATAAACTAAGTAGTTTGGGCTCCTAAGAGGAAGAGGATTATCATGATGTGCTACTGATGAATGTGACCATTCAAGGCA